GAAAAGCTTGGGTCTCCACTGAAAATGAGGCTACACCTTCACCAATAGCCTCTTCTTGCCTCTTGGGGTGCAAAGCCTCAGATTCTCTCCATGACCCCTTCGATCCTGGGGCCTTCACTGCAGCTGAAGAGGCACCTCACCTATGGCCTTTCCTGGCCTCTCACAGTGCCAAGCCTCAGCTGCTCTCTGTGACCCCTTCATGCTTTCAACACCAGAACCATGCAGGAGACTCTTACACATTACCAAGTCCTGCTTCCAGCTTGAAATAGAGGTGTGGGTCCCCTCTGTGTGCTGACCCTGAGGAAATACCTCCCAGAAGACTCCATCACAGTGATGCTGGTCTCTTGTTACTTACAGCTGATTTTTCAGCCCCAGCTAACCAGCAACGATTGTCCCAGTAAAGCAAAGGTTTTACTTCAGGTTCTGGTCTCTTCTTCATCACAGCTGATTCTTCAGCCCCAGCTGACCAGAACCCTCAGATTCTCAATTCAAAATCTCACATGAACACCCCTGATAGTCTCCACTTCCCTTTTAAGCTTCACAAGCCAGGACTCCGTTGTTCACAACTCTTTCAGCATAATTGTTCAAGCTCCACAGTAACAAACTCTGAGTACTCAATGGCTTTTCCAGCCCAAAGTTCCAAATGCTTCCACAATCCTCCTTAAAACACCAAGATCAGTTCTGTCACAGCAATTCCCCACTCTCTGGTACCAATTTCTGTCTTAGTTTGTTTCTCCATTGCTGTGACAAAACACTCTGACCAATACCAACTTGGGGAGGAAAGGGTTTATTCAGCTTATGTCTCCTGGGTCACAGTTCATCTGGGAGCCCAAGGTAGGAACTCAGGGCAAGAACCTGGAGACAGGAGCTGGAACACAGGCCATGGAGGAATGCTGCTTACTGGCTTGCTCCCTGGCCCCTGCTGTCTTATGCAACATAGGCCCACCTGCCCAGGGGTGGCACCACTCACAGTGGGCTGGGCTCTGCCACGTTACTCGAGAAAATTCTCCAAAGACATGGCCACAGGCCAGTCCAATAGAGGAAATTCCCCAATTGAGGCTCCCTCAACCCAGGTGTGTCAAGTTGACACTAAAGTTATCACAGAATTAGAAAACATCATCTTTAAATTTGTATGGAAGCACAAAAGACCCTAGATAGTCAAAGCAACCCTGAACACAAAGAGTATTGCTGGGAGGATTACTATACCAGATCTCAAAATATACTACAGAGCTATAGTCCTAAAGATAGCATGTTACTGGCACAAAAATACACATAGACCAATGGGTCATCATTGAAGACCCAAACCTGAGTACATGCAATTTCAGCCACCTGATATTTGACAGAGGTGCCAAGAACACACAATGGAGGAAATACAGCATATTCAACAAATGGTGCTAGCAAAACTGGATCTCCACCTGTAGAAGAATGAAACTAGATCCTTATCAACTCCAAATGGATCAAAGACCCTCAGTATGAAACTCAAAACTCTGAAACTATTAGAAGAAAACATTAGCAGTAACCTACAAGATAGTTACAGGAAAGAACTTTAAATTAGACACCAGTTGGTCAGGAATTAAGGTCAACAGTCAACAAGTGGGACCTCATTAAACTAAAATCTTCTGTACAGCAAAAGAAACAAGAAAATGAAGGAAAAAAACTCCACCAGTGATACATCTTACAGAGGCTTAACATTCAGATCATGTAAAGAACTCAAAAAACAACCGAGGTAACAAATGACCCAATTAAAAGATGGGCTAACGAGGTAAAAAATGACCCAATTAAAAGATGGGCTAAATATCTAAACAGAGCATTCTCAAAGGAAGAAATAAAGCTGGTTAAGAAACATCTTAAAAAAGTGTTCAACATCTTTAGTAATTGGAGAAATGCAAATTAAAATCACCTTAAGATTTTTACCCCAGTCATACTGGCTAAGATCAAGAGAACAAATGATACCAAATGCTGGGAGGCTGTGGAGAAAGGGGGAATGATCATTCACTATTTGGTGGGATTGCAAACTCGTGCAATCCCTGTGGAAAGCAGTGTGAAGAACTCTTTAAAAATCTAAAAATGAACCTAGCATATGACCTAGTTATGCCACTCCCTGGCATTTACCCAAAGGACTCATCCTATTGCAGAGACACATGCACAACCGTATTTGTTGCTGCCCTTTTCACAATAGCTAAGAATTGGAAGCAACCTAAGTATCTCTCAGCAGATGAGTGGTTAACGAACATGTACATTTACACAGTGTAGTTCTACTCAGCAATAAAGAAAGATGAAATAATGGAATTTGCAGATAAATTAATGGATCTAGAAACTATTATACTATGTGAAGTAACAGACTCAGAAAAACAAAAGCCATATGTTTTTCCTCATTTGTGGATTCTAGCACCAAATTCTTATAAGTGAGTGCATATCCTGATGTAACTGTAGGAACCAAGAATATGGAAGGGAACCAGGGAGGTAAAGGGAAAGAAGGAATATGAGAATAGTAGGAGAAAGGTACTAGTAAGGTAGAAATATGTGAAAAGTGGGTAGTTAAAGGGGAAGGGGTAAGGAGGGCTATACAAAGAACTATGGGAATAAAGAGGAAAATAAATTCTCATGATACACAGTAAAAAACAAATGAAAACAACAAAAAAGCCTTAAGCACAGATGGAACCCTTTGGGGATCGAAGAAAGCCCTACCAGAACCCATTTGGTGGTTAAATAAAAATACAAGTGCCAGTGATGGGTTTCCCCCTATGAGCTGTTGGCTAGAGGGACCCTAGAGGCCCCCATAGTAATAATGACCATTGCCAATAATGTTGGTTGTACACTGGAAGTGGATGGTGAAACGCTGTTACTGAAGACACTGCATGGTGTGAGTTTAGGAGGGGGAGAAATCAAGCCTGGACTAACCTGAAAACTCCCTGCCACTGGATAAGTGGCTTTCATAGTGCCAGAAAGCGATGTGCAGATGGCTGGTGGAGAAATGTCCCCTATAAGTCTGTTCAACAATGGACCCTGCGTGCTGCCCCACCAACATGCCAAAGAAGATGTTCCAACTGGTACAATAGTGACCGGTCTACCGTATGTAGTACTAGCAAATTTTCTATTGGATATAATGCCAACTCCTAGAGGTAGAACACACATCTTGTACTGTAGACCAGGCCAAACCCCTGTGGCAGGGGAAGATATAGGCCCCAGTGGAAGGCCACTGCAATTATTTTTGTTAGATAGATGTGATGCACCTGCTAAAGTACTGTCTAAGCATTTGTGTTTACATCCATAGGTTATTATAGCAGCCACTGTTTAGATGTTCTTGCTTCTTGCTGTTTGTCTTTTTTTAGTAGATGGAATTCCACTGAAATGGGCCAACAGCCCATGGAAAATAGATGATGCAGAGACCTGAAAGTTCAGTGCCTTGCCACAATGGGAGGAAGATCATCCCACACCTATCACCCCCCTCCAAGGCTCAGGGACTTTTGTTGAAGAGGTTGGCAGAAAGAATATAAGAGCCAGAGGAAAGGGTGGAGTGTTAACTGGAAGTGTCTTCCAACCACTATACCAGCAAGCTATAGTCACACCTCCTTCTCATGCTAGTCAAGGAGTTGATGGGCGTATCAGGTACCTCTCCCACCCAATCAGTCCATGTTAGTTGCATATGGGGGAGGGGCTAAGGATATATAAGCTGAGAATGCCATGAGGCACCTCTCGTGCCATTTTGTGCAGCTGTCAGGAAGTCTCGGGATCTGTATTTGAATGTGGACTTTCCAGTGCAGCTGTGAGGAAGTGCCCACTCTTTTGTAAATAAACCCCCGTACTGTGTTCTGTTAGGAAGCCCAATAAAAAAAAAAGAACAGAGCTAATGGAAGCCATTATTCCACCAATGTTGACTCCATGTTGGCAAATCCTTTGGTCTTTGATTTCTTATGCCTATTTTCCCCCCCTTAAAGTTTATTGTATCTATATTTTTATGTAACCTGCTTCAAGTTATTTCTGGAAAAATGTGTTAAAAATGCCTCTCCTTGGATTCAAAAAAAAAAAAAAAAAGCCAGACTTGTTTATGCCTGTAACCCAAGTGCTATGATGTTGTAGAGACAGGATCATTGGGATTTACTGGCATCAAGAATAGCTTAACTGGTTTAGTTAGAGCCTGAGGAATAAAGTGGAGAGTGATAGAGCAGGATACCCGATGTTCTCTACCCTCTGTGCATGCACATAAGCACATGCACCCCCACACATATGGTGTATGTGCACAAACACCACACCCACATAATAAAAGGAGAATATGTCAAGTGTGCTGGTACATACCTATAATCCCAGCATTCAGGAGGCAGAAGCAAGAGGATAGTTATAAGTTCAAAGCCAGCTTGAGCTACATAGTGGAACTTTGTTTCAAAAGAAAATTTGAGAATATAAGGAAAAATGGGAAGAAAAGAAAAAAGAGGAAAAGGAAAAGTTCTTGATTCTTTTCTTTGATTAACTGATCTTTACAATGAGCTGGTTTCTTAGCATCAAAGTGAGCAGTATTCTGATGTACTGTGAATTCATAGATTGAAACACTTAAGTACTCTTATTTGCTATGATTATTCCTTTTTTAGCCAGGTTCACCATGGCTTGGAGCCCCTTTCCATACCCTGATGGTCACTGACAGGTGCTGTACTTTCTGTAGGAAAAGATGTGCATGCTCATCTATATTTTTCTCTCAATCAGCAGTTTTCAGACGTCTTATTTTTTGTTTGTTGTATTTTTTCTTTTTCTTTTGTGTTTTCTTAGACAAGGTCACACTCTATAGCCGAAGTTGGCCTTGAACTCAGTCCTCTTGCCTCTGCCACCCAAGTGCTGGGATTACAGGTGTCTACCCTCATGCTTTGTATTGGTTGTTTTTAGTGGGGAATTCTATTTAGCATTATAATAATTGACAAAATTATATCACTCTGGCTTTTTATAATTTAAGGTAATAGAACTGTGAATTCACTTTGCATTTTAAAGTCAGAGTTTCTGTTTTTAAACAGGATCAGCGAGCGTGCTATTCTACTGGGAGGACTCATCATTGTAGGGGTTGGCTTCTTCATCTTATTACCGTGGGGAAATCAGTTCCCCAAAGTACAGTGGGAAGGTATGGTCATTGTAATATATAACATTAACACCTTTATTTAAAAGTAATGAGTGATGTACCATACTAATTTTATTTTTTACAGATCTACATAATAGCTCAATCCCTAATACCACATTTGGGGAAATTATTACTGAGCTTTGGAATTCTCCAAGAGAAGATCACAATGAACAACCAATCGGCTGCCCTAGTGAACAAGCCTGGTGCCTGTACACCCCAGTGATCCATCTGGCCCAGTTCCTCACAGCTGCTGTGCTAATTGGAATAGGCTATCCAGTCTGCAATGTCATGTCTTATACATTATATTCAAAAATTCTAGGACCCAAACCTCAGGTAGCCCAGCACTGCTACTCTGTGAACTGTACTCACTTTTCCTTCTGCTAGTGTTCTCTATTTTTACACAAGCTGGTTTAGGGAATTTTTAAAAATCATATTTAGCATTTTGAATGAAAAAAAAAAAAAACACACCAACAAATTTAGGGGGAAGATGGATGTTTTGGGACAGGCTTTAGCCATATCTAAGACAAGCCCTGAATTCATTGTGTATCCCATGCTGGCCTCAAGCTTTGGTATTCCTGCTTTTATCACTTAAAAAGCTTTGTAAAGTGTTCATAAATTTTAAATACTGAAATTTAACACTGTGTTCAATTAGAATTGAGATGCCTGAGCTCACAATCATTTTCATTGAAAAAAATCTGAATTATAAATTTCTAAAATTCATTTTTTTTTTTTTTTGGTCGTTTTGAGGCAGGGTCTCCCTGTAGCTCTAGCTAGCCTGGCCTGGAACTCACTATGGAGACCAGGTTGGCCTTGATCTCACAGAAATCCCCCTGCCTCTGCCTCCTGAGTGCTGGGACTAAAGATATGGGCCACCATCTCCAGCATAACTTTTTTTTTTTTTTTTGTCTTTTTGAGACAGGGTTTCCCTGTAGCCCCAGCTGGCCTGGAACTCACTATGTAGTCCAGGCTGGCCTTGAACTCACAGAGATCCACCTGCCTCTGCCTCCCGAGTGCTGGGATTAAAGGTGTGTGCCACCTTGCCTGGTGTTAACTCTTGTTTTTAATAGCAGTTATATATATGGCCATACTCTCTTCAAAAGCAAACTGAACTGGCTGTGGTGGAGCAGAACTATAATCTCAGTACTTTGCAGGCATGCAGGAGGTTCACAAGTTGGAGGCCAGCCTAGGCTACATGGTGACTTTCAGGAAAGCGTAGACTATAATGTGAGACTTTGCCTCAAAAAAAAGCAAAATAATAGAAAAATAATATCAAAAATAAATGAACAACCTGGCAGCAGTGGCCCACACCTGTAGTCCTAGGCTTGAAGTAGAGGATCACTTGAGTTCAGCTCAGTTTCAGAAAAAAATTAATTACAAAAGCAGTATGTTTGTAGCAGATTTCAAGTGATTTAGAAATGCTAAGATAAATGACTCCTGTACTAGTTTACTGCTGTTAATTTATTTAGACTCTTTGAGACATTTTTCTATGCCTATTCAAACACACCCACACTTAAGCTTTAAAAATTGCTTATATAGCTGGGTGTGGTGGTGCACGCCTTTAATCCCAGCACTTGGGAGGCAGAGGCAGGTGGATCTTTGTGAGTTCAAGGCCAGCATGGACTTCATAGTGAGTTCCAGGAAAGCTGGGGCTACAAGGAGACCCTGTCTCAAAAAGACAAAAAAAAAAAAATATTGCATATACATTGAATTTTAATCTTACTAAATGTGGCATAACTGCTTTCCATGTCAGTGTATATAGATGTCTTTCCTATTATAAGATCTTACCATTCATATTCAACCTTGGTTTTAAAAGCTGCTTAGTATTCTAGTTACCAAGTATACCATATGGAAGTGTTTTCATTTGGGGTTACTGAAAAGAATGCTGCTCTGAACATTCTTGGGTAGACTGTTGGGGCTGGTCTTGGATAGTGTAGTTGTAGGAATGGTATGGTGTAGTGTCAGGTGGCATCCATGAGTCAGCTTCAGACTTCATGGACAAGCTATGTAAACTTCCTGAGTATCAGCTTTCATAGTTGTTAAACAGGAATGTATCACTTGTCAAACCCTGTGAATGTTAGGAAACTATATATCCTGCCTCAGTGTCTGGGATGTAACAGGTACAAAATAAATGTTCGCTTTCAAAGCTATATTGTCATATTGTCCCTAGGCCTTCAGCAGATAGTACATTTGTCCCTTTAGAGCTCAGAGGGTAGCTTAGTGGTAATGTGCTTGCTTAGCATGCATGAGACAGAGTTGGATCCTCAGCAACATACATACACACACACACACACACACACAC